CATCTACATTTGATGAGGCGGCGGGCCACAAGGAGTGGAAGCAGGCCATGTCGGAGGAACTCAAGTCCATCAACGACAACAGGACCTGGGCACTCATCGATGCGCCGCCAGGTGTGAAGCCCATAGGCCTGAAGTGGGTCTTCAAGATCAAGCGCGACGCCGACGGCAACATCACCAGGCACAAGGCGCGTCTGGTGGCGAAGGGGTACGTGCAGCGCGGCGTCGACTTCGACGAGGTCTTTGCCCGATGGCGTGTTTGGAATCCGTGCGGTTCCTCCTCGCCATCGCCGCGCACCATGGGTGGACGGTGCACCACCTCGATGTGAAATCAGCGTTCCTGAACGGAGACCTGGCGAAGGAAGTGTACGTCGAGCAGCCGCCGGGGTACGCGATCCGTGGCAAGGAGCGCAAGGTGTACAGGCTTCACAAAGCGCTGTACGGCCTCAGGCAGGCGCCCAGGGCGTGGAACGCCAAGTTGGATAACTCGCTGCAGTCCCTTGGGTTTGGTGCGGTCTTGGTGAGCACGCGCGTGTACGTCTTGAGGGCTCCGGCGACAACTTTGTTGCTCGTCGGAGTCTATGTTGATGACCTCATCGTGGTTGGGGCGAACCAGACGAGTTGATCGATTCAAAGGCGGAGATGGCCCGGCTCTTGAGCATGAGCGACCTGGGGCCATTGCACTACTACCTCGGCATCGAAGTCTATCAGAGTGCGAAGGGCATCACGCTGTGCCAAGGCGCCTACGCGGACAAGATAGTCGAGAAGGCCGGGCTCTCAGGGTGCAACCCGTGCAGTACTCCGATGGAGCCGCGACTCAAGCTGAGCAAGGCGAGCTCAAACCCTCCGGTGGACAAGACCCTGTACCGCAGCATCGTCGGAAGCCTCAGGTATCTGGTTCACACACGCCCTGACATTGCATTCGCAGTGGGCTATGTGAGTCGTTTCATGGAGGCGCCCACTACCGAGCACTGGAGCGCCGTCAAGCACCTACTAAGGTACATTGCCGGGACGAGGTCCTATGGCTGTGTCTACCGGCGAGGGGAGGGAGCCCTGGAGTTGATCGGCTTCAGCGACGCCGATCACGCCGGGGACTGCGACGATCGAAAGAGCACCTCCGGAGTGTTCTTCTTCCTCGGCCAGAATCCGGTCAGTTGGCAATCACAAAAGCAGCGCGTGGTGGCGCTATCGTCGTGCGAAGCGGAGTACATCGCCGGCGCTACCGCAGCGTGTCAGGGAGTGTGGCTGTCACGCTTGCTCGCTGATCTGGTGAACGCCAAGGTCGTCGCGCCACTGCTGTACATTGACAACAAGTCTGCCCTGGCGCTGGCGAGGAACCCGGTGCTTCACGACAGGAGTAAGCACATCGACGTCCGGTTTCATTTCATCCGCGACTGCGTCAGCTCCGGTGTCATCGAGACGGATTTCATCAAGATGGGTGATCAGCTGGCGGACTTACTGACCAAGCCGCTTCCGCGCGAACACCTTCAGGAACTGCGCGTCCGGAGTGGCATCGTCAACATCGGTTCGGCGCAACAGAATTAAGGGGGAGTGTGTTGAATTTCCTTCTGTTGCGTATGTGTGTGTGTGTCTATCTTTAGCTTGTACAGCTGAGTGGTGGTGAGCGCGGCGCTTGTTTCGCGTCGTGCGCGTGTGAGTGCGTCTGGTGGCGAGGCTTGGCCCGGCAATGTCGCCCACGTCACGCGGCTGTGGGATGGCTCAGCAAGAAACGCGGGGCGTGGGCGGTAGCGACGGGAGCTAAGTTTAGCATGTAATCCAAGTCAATAAAAGGAGAAGAAAACCAGAAAAGCAGCAGTTCGTGCGCTGCGCCAAAATCCCGTCCACCGAGTTCACCGCGAGTTAATCGTTTGTTCATCGCGTTCATCGAGTTCGTGAGGGAGAGACCGAGCGTTTCAGCGACTATAGATCCTGAGCCGTTTCAACAACAATCACTGTCAGTATGTTATCAAAGATATGAAATATAATGTATACTTCTATTCATTAGCAGATTTTGTCATTTATCATTATCACTAGAATAACAAATAACTAACCATTGTATAGTTTTTGGACTACAATAACCCTGTGGTTTCTGGATTCTCAAGAACTAGTAATTATATTGTTTATGAACCAATGATATATGCAATGAGACAATGCATAAAAATGTAGGTGGGTGGTCAAATTCAGTATCAAGAAGCTGGAAATTTCAACAATATGAATGTAACTGCTATATATGTCAATAACTAACCTAATCCATAATGATCTTGAAGTTCTACTAAACCGATGAGAGTCAGAGGACTGTAAAACTTACTTTCGCTGTTTTGCTACCATTTACTGCAAGAGATTGAAGGAAGTCGAATAATGGTTCCTGGCATTCACTAAGGTTGCAAGGCAGCGTTGGCCAGTAATTCATCTGTAGATTTATGTTAAGATGAGGAGCTGCACTGAAAAGCAATTTTTATTAGTGTGATTAACTGGATCATAAATATATAGGCAGCTCGATCTCTTGCCGGTTCAAGAAAAAAAAAGTGTACGAAATAGAGGTCCAACGGTCATAGAAATAAAATGCAAAAATAATAACAAGAAGAAGAAGTAAAATGATCGATCTTACTCCCATGCTGGTGCAACATCTTGGCTCCAGATTCCTTGCAGATTGGATACTTGAGTCCCAGGCCTAGAGCACGAAATGAGAAGATAGCGTCCATACTGGAATAACAGTTCAACGAGAGAAGGATCCTCATCAGTAGCAAAACTCTTCACCCTGTCTGCAGAAGTTCTGATGATTCCTTCATCAGTACCAACTCCTCTTTTCAACATCGTCCCTTTTCCTCCTGGTGGCGAAAGTCGCAAGGTAACACGGTGAAAGAGGCACTGGTAATCATCCAAATGAGCAGCTTTCAGCTGTTCATACGTCAGACTTCTAGCACGATTCAGTGTAGCCACAGCTGCAGACGTGGGATCCAGCCTAGAGTCTGAAGGACTGACAAACGGACCATCAAATGAGGTTGAAGCAGCAACGACCAACACAATCCAATCTGCAGTATCAAGCCTCAGCTTCTTCTGATCATTCAGGACTGCCGCTTTCGCTTCGCTCCCACCCATCTGCACACCAAGAACGGCCGCAAACTTGATGCCTCCTGTTGTTACATCGTCGTCATCACTGGAGCTGATGGAGTTGCTGCTGCTGCTGCTATTCCTCAGCAGCAGGCCAGGAGCAGGAGGCCTCTGTCCTGGGCAGACGCCCTCCATGACAACCTCATTAGCGTTGGTCACAGTGACGGTGTTCTTTAGCTGGCTGCTCAGCGACAGCGTGCAGGAGACGTGCCCTGGCTCGCTTGCGGCGATCCTAGTAACGATGACCTGATGCGGGTTCGAGCAGAAGTGCTCCCTCGTGTACTGCACCGGCCCGACGCTGTAGGTGACGAGCACTGTCGCCGTGTGTAGATCCAGCTCCCTCTTGTAGGAGTTGTACGCCTGCTGCTGGTCAGAACCGCCCAACTCCAGGTTTACATCACCCATAGGTTGGTAGACCTCCGATTGGCCACCGAAGAGGCGTGTGGCTGCCGCAGTGGCATCGGTGAAGCGGCCTTGGTCGACGAGCTCCCTCACCGCCGCGAGAGCAGCCGGCGCGTCCGGGTTGGTGTAGCTCCCTGGCGCTCCGGTCCACAGGGTGTCATCTGCGGCAAGCCGGCAACAGCCAAGTCACAATCACAACGCACGTTTATTGCTGTATATATAATGGAAGGCAAGAGTGGTCAGCTAATAATTACGGTTGAGCTGGAGCTTCTCCGTGGCGACGCCGCCCCACACCATGCCGCCGAGGCTGCCATTCCCGATCGGCGCCGCGTCCGTGAAGTTTTCGGCCGGCGACGCGAAGACCACCGTCAGCGGCCGCTCCTCCTCCTCCTCCTCTGCCCACGCGGTGGAGGGCCGCCGGGCCATTGCAGCCGCCGCCACGACCTCCGCCTCGGCTAGCCGGCGCACCCCGAACCAATCGCCGCCGCTGCCGCCGCAGTCCATGGGGATCGATCGGAGGACACGAAGCCGTCCGGGACGGATGCGAAGATGGCTTGGACAGTGGTTGGCGGAGAATGCGTGGAGGTTGCTTGTAAAGCTGTAATATTGGTTCTTGATCGTTTGGCGCCAAGGGAGAAGACAAACACGCCGGCAGGCAGGCCTCCGAGTTCTTTTTATTTTGTCAGCTTCAGTGTTTCTCGTCTCTTTTGTTTGTTCCTGTAGCCGATCTAGTTAAACAGAAAACAGCTATAAGATCCAAATAAGGCGCCATTCCAAATTATAAGTCACTTTGATTTTTTTGATTTATCTATTTTGTTATCTAGACATATTATTATATCCAGATACATACTAAAATGGATATATAAAAAAAAGTCAAAGCGACTGATAATTTAAAATGGAGGAAGTATTTGTCAAAGTGAGCAGCATAAATGCAATCTCAACACCAAACAGCTAATACTGTCAATTTAGCGTTATATATGTGAACCCGAACCCTTTATTCCAGACAAAAAGAAAACTACGGTTCTTACAGCAGTTCATCGTATCATTCCGGGGCTGTTATACGAGATAATGGTCACGATAAACGACTCGTATAGAATGCTCACAAAGAACAAAAGAAATTCAAAAGATCCAAATATACTCAAGCACAAGCTTATGATATAGAACTTATTTTTAGAAAAAAAATTGGACACTGGTTTTATATTTTTCTAAGGTCGTATGCGTTTCCTATGAATTTTCTAAGACTAAATCATTTTCTGAAAAAGAAAAAGAAGGAAAACTCTAGGGTTTGACACATGGTGGCTTCTGATTAGTTGGGGTGTTTTGGTCTCTAATAGGTGGGTCCCGGTGTCAGTCAATGTTGACCGGTCCTAACTGGGCCTCGAGCGGGCCGGATGGGTCAGGTTTGGGTCGGGTCAGCCCGGACACGTGTCACGCGACCAGCTAGCCATGTGGCGGGTCTAGGCTATATACGGGCTCGGTCCACGAGGTTTGGTTCACGTTGGACAAGGGTTGGCGCACCATGGACCATAGGCTCATCCACCATGCACCGAGCGCACATTGCAGCCGTGCGCACGGCGCACTGTGCACCAGGTGCACTCGTGTTCGAAAAAGGCAAAGAGCTTTCCGCTCCTCGGCCCTCAATTGTTCGACACGAGGCTCCAGAGGGCTCACCAGCGATGTGGTCACTCGGCGGGGAGGGGTCTCTCCTTGCTAGTTGCTTGATCCAAAGTGAGTTTGAGATAGATCTAGTGCATTTGCTTAGTTGATTCTCATGGTATTAGTTCATCGTTTGGTGTACGGGTTTCTTGTTACTCTTGGTAGTTGTCGCCACCTTGATGGTTTGAAGCAGCGAGGAATTCAAGCACCATGTTGGTGATTGTTCAGTGGCTTGAATCGGTTAATTTGTGAGGGGTCTTGTGCTCTCACCCCGCGGAAGATCGTGATGGGCAACTCTAGTGGAATGCTTGTGGCTAGTTGGAGTGCTCTTTTGTTGATTGATTCTTGTGGTACCCAAGTTGTAGATCAAGCTTAAGAGGCTTGTTAGCGCGTGAATCACTTACCTAGACACTCGCCACATTGGGGATTAAGTTGCTGCAAGCAACCGAACCTTAGATGAAAAATTAATTGTCATCTCTCTTGTCTGGATTGGTTTTCCACTAGACTCGTTCTTTATGTTCATATCTAGCTTGTGTAGTTGTAGCTTGTTTGTGTTGCTCTTCTAGTTTAGCTCACTAGTGTAGCTTGTTTAGTTGCTAGCTTTTGTGTGGTCGAGTGCTTTAGTAGTAGAACCAACTTGCTACTGGAATTGTTTAGGATACTTGCGTTTGGGTGCAATAGAGCTTGACAAAGTAGTTGCTATTAGGATCTCTTATTGTAATAACTACTTTGATCTAGTGTTTGTGCAATTGTAGAAAATTTTTATAGATTATTCACCCCATTCTGGCCATCTAGCTAGATCCTTTCAGCTTTCCATTTTGTCGTTGATAATTCGATGACCCATTGTCAGAGACTTCAGTCATGGACAACACTTTTACTTATTTATCCTATTTTTTACAAATTAAAAATTAAATAAACATACATCTATTACCTCCTAAGAAGTAACAGATGATTCTAATCATCTCATGTATTGAAATGGATGGTTCCCAGTAATTTGGTAGTACCACAACAAAACCTGTGACTACGTATCAATGCAAAGAAGAAGCAAACATCTATATCACATACTCACATCTATAATAAGATATTAAATGTCATGAGAACAGTTTAAGCAAGCCTAGGAATGCCTCTGTATTTATAAATCAGGCACACATTTAAGCTGTTAAATTCTCATCGGCAACTCCATTGCTGCAACCTGGATGTACATGATCGATCAATTCGGTATGGGCTTGAAGTGTGGCTTGTCCATGGACGGGGAAGGGTCATAGCTGCTGTATGTTAGTCCCTTGATCTCCGGCACGGGTGAGCCGATCACTCACCAGCGTTGTCAACCACGACATTATCGTTGGCGACCACACACTATGGCTAGAGGTAGAAGAAGGAAGGAAGAACATAGCACACACACAATACAAGCACCAGTGTTGGCCGAAGCTCTGCAGAGGAGATGTCAAACTGAACTCGCTCTCTTTACTGAGTTGCAGTGGTAAACTATATATACAACTCTACCCATCTAATCCTAGTACACAAATATGTTATGCTACCATGCTGCTATAGTGACTAGATGTGACAACAGGGCTGACTTTGGCGCCTGCCCCTACTGTGGGTACTGAAAGGACCTAGGATGCCGCCTAGAGGGGGGGTGAATAGACGTTTCTGAAAATTAACACATTTAAATGCGGAAACAATTAGTAAAGAGAGTTTTCAAATTGGAAACTCCAAATAAAGAGTAGTACCACCCCTCACAAGTTAGCCACACAGTGTACAAGGGATAAAGAATATATCTAGAAGCTACAACCCTGCAACACAAAGTTAAAACTGCGAATAAATATTTTCAGCACAGAGCTCTAATACCAAATGTGTCTGGTATGAATACCGGACGTGTCCGGTATGCACGGTTTCTGCAGAACAACCCCGAACTTGCTCTTTCAATTTCTATCTTCAAACCAAACTACAGGTACCTACTAGAGATATCAATATACACAGAGAACCTGCATAAGGGCTGGAGCAACACAAATATCAAATGAAATACGAATTGAGACACGATATTTGATTTACCGAAGTTCGGACTCGTTTGAGTCCTACTCTCCGTTGAGGAGGCTGCGGGTGACCCAGCGAAGGTCAGCCCTAGAGGGTACCACGAAGGTCACTCTAGCCGGAGTCTTTTCTAACTCATTTTCCTCCTTCCACTAAATGATTCCGAGGCGGCGGAATCGACCGTTACAAATTTTCCGTGGCACACCACAATCTCTCGGGTGCTCTCCGGCAACGCCTAACCGTCTAGGACCGAAGAGTCCAAGAGTAACAAATGCGAATCACGAGATTGACAATATGCAAAGTGCTCAAGTGGTGGCTTGCTCTCTTTTTCAAATTCTCTCTTAACCCACAAATGGATTTTGCAATTTGTATCACACACTCACTAAGAGAGGGTTTAGGAGAGTTGGCAAGACTCAAAAACGTGTGTGTATGTCAGCAGAATCAGCAGCCTCCAAAGGTGGAGGCTTGGGGGTATTTATAGCCTCCTTGAAAAACTAGCCGTTTTATAGTCGTTGCCATACCGGACACGTCCGGTATGACTTACACTGCCTCAACGATAACTAAGTTACAGTGAAGTTGTGAGGTGTCAGAACTTCCGACTCACGTCGGAACTCCCGACCTTCAGCAATTTTGAAAGCCATGTAACTGAGTTGAAGTTAGTGAGGTGTTGGAACTCCCGACGCATGCCGGAACTCCCGACCGTCGGAACTCCTGACCCTCAAGGCAGTTGAAAACTAGCCGTTGGCTTCTGGTCATCCATACCAGACAGGACAGTGAACCCTCCAAGTTAGTTAAAGTGCGAGACGTCGGAACTCCCGACCCTTGCCGAGACTCCCGACCGTCGGAACTCCCGATGAACCAACCCGAGAACAACAATTTTACCACTGCTGGGTAAATACCGGACACGTCCGGTATTGCCAGAACAGCAAAAATAAAGTTAGCTCTTTTGTCGCTCAAATACTCAAAACTCACATGGGTTGGCTTGATCACTTATGGAACATTATCTATCAACATGATGCATCCCTCTTAATAGTACGGCATACCTATTAAACTCAAGTTAAAAGGAAAAATGAATTTATACCACTTGAGTTGATCTATTTTGAATTGATGCCGTCTCTTTCAATCTTCATCAAGTAAGGGTGCTAACTTGTTGATATTGATCTTTTCACTTGAGCATAGCCATCTTGAGCATGTGACTTGATTTCATTCATCAAATTTGAATAATCCCAAATGTATCAAGTCACTTCCATCAAATACTTTATTATAGATTTGATCCTTCACATCAATATGACCATCTTAGCCTGATTAGTACATCAACTAAATGCAAGTACTTTCTTCTTCACCCTAGCTAGGTTCTTCGGCCGCCAAGCCGTCGCTTGCCCTTCACCCTTGCTTAGTACCTCGAAGCATTTCCTTGCTATCTTCACCATCTCAAGCCATCAAGTTGCATCTAGTGTTGAATCATCCATTCATATGTATTGTTATCTTTTTCATTTTAATTTAGCAAGCTTCAAATATGAGACCATTCCATATGCAATCCCTCATGTCTCATTAACTAATAATCACAGGCTTGCTTTCACATGGTACATGGAAATCCCACAATAAATAAGCCTTCACATGAATTCCATTTGCATTGTTGTCTTGTGCTTGAACTAGATTGTTTATACAACAACACATCATTTTGGCTTTCATTAAGTACATGTGAGATAACCTATTACCTGTCCACACTTAGCAAATGGGTTAGTCCTTTAATCACGTTGTCATTCAATCATCCAAAACCCACTAAAGGGCTAGATGCACTTTCAATCTCCCCCTTT